CAGCCAGTGTTTCTCAGAGAACAGACTGTGGCCGCAGGAAGCAGAGGAGGCCGAGTCGGCATGAAGAAGGGTGGGCGGGTGGGAAAGCGTATATCGCAAATTCCCGGTTGCTTTGTCTCCTGCTGGAAGCTCCGTGAAGCTGCTTCCTCGTACCCCCTGTTTGCTGGTCTCCGATAGGAGTCCAAGATGGCGGATCCACGCTGTGTTAGCTGGTAGGGGACCTCTGCATGAATCTCTCCTCTCTGTCTGTTCTCTGTCAGTTTTCTCACTCGATTTGGTGCTTGGCTGAGTTCTTTATCTCTTCATTTGATGTTTTAGGGTTTCAGGATTGTTGTTTTCTCTGTTCAGCTTAGTTTTTTGGATCTTTGCTGTGGAGGGACGGCATGGTGCTTCTGCCTAGAGCACCATTTTGCCAGAAGTCGAATTTTTTTTTTTTAACTTTTGCAAAAATTTTACAAAAATTTAACTTTTGCAGTTCTGGGCTATTCAAATGAACCAAGAGATACACGCTTTACCATCTGTGACCTTGCCCATATTTTTGTTCTTTCAAAAGAGTCACTTTTTTTTAATTGATAATCTCCATGAACAGATATTTTTATAAAAAACATCCTATTTCAGTATAATACACCATCTCCCTTTCCTTCCTGACTTCTCACAATGCAGTTTTTCCTCCAAACCCCCACCCCTCCTCAAACTAGACAAGATTCTAGTGGTACTGGGATACCAAACAAACCCACTGCCGATGAGTTGATTCCGACTCACAGTGACCCTATAGGACAGAGTAGAACTGCCACATAGGGTTTCCAAGGCTGTAAATCTTTACAGAATCAGACTGCCACGTTTCTCCCATGGAGTGGCTGGAGGCTTTGAACTGCCGATTTATTGGTTAGCATCCGAGTGCTTTAACCACTGCACCACCAAGGCTCCTTGTATTGGGACAGGTTAGTACTAATTTTTATAGTCTTCGGCCCAACAGGAAGACAATTCAAACATGAATAGGCTCTCCCCCTCTCCCAGCTCTCCCCCAACACCCAAGGTTTTGAAATGGTTAAGAATCCTAACTTAATCCTTGAGAATTATTTCTCATTGTTTCTTCTCTATTCTTATCTACTTTTAGAATTGATCACCTAGTTTGAGAAGTGATTCTCTTGTAGATATCTCTTTATGTTGTATTATTTCGAGTAGGCTAATTGCTGCAATAAGTAGACCCCAAAATATATAATAGCTTTAGCACTGTATAATCCGCTCCCCTCCTTACTCATATCAGTCACTGCCCTGGTGATACAGTGGTTAAGAATTCAGCTACTAACCAAAAGGTTGGCAGTTTGAATCCACCAGATGCCCCTTGGAAACCCTAGGGACAGTTTACTCTGTCCTATAGGGTCACTGTAAGTCTGAATTGACTGGACGGCAACGAGTTTGTTTTTTTGTGTTTTTTTTTTTTTTACTCACGTAAGTCATAGGTAAACAGGTTTGAGAGGAGACTCTCTTCTACTCAGCTATTCAGAGATCAAACATGATGAAGGCTCAGCCACCTTCAGTACATGACTTCCAAGGTTTCCCTGGGACCTGTCTCCATTCCAGCCAACCAGAAGGAGAAACCGCTATGGAAGTGTATGCATGGAAAGTTTATAATAAATTAGTCCTGGAAGGGTGCACATCACTTCCTCTCACATTCCATTGGTTAAGACTCAATCACATGACCACCCCTAGCTGCAGGGGAAGCTGGGAAATGTAGTCAAGCTGTATGTCCAGGAAGAAGAGGAGAACATAAACGTTTGATGAACATTTATCAATTTCTGCCACAATTGTGTTATGTTGAGGTGAGGTTATCCTGAAGAGATCTTTTTGGATAAGCCATAGGAATGACCCTAAGATCAATCAGGAAGGACCCTTAGGATCATAAGCTGAACATGAGTAAACTACATCAGTCTAAGTTATTGGTAGTCCATCATCGGTTCTACAGAGAATAAAGGAAAGAGTCCTTTATTCATGCTTGGGCCAGAGTGGGAAAGTGGGAGAGGATCTCCCCCTTCCCTGACCTCCTGACCCCAACAGGTAGCAGAATGGCAATGGTGATAAATAGCAAGAAACTCTAAGGGAAAAAAAACATCACTTACAGTGCTAGAGTCCAGGGTTCTTAGCCTAGTCAGCCTTCCCCAGCAGGAGACTCTTCTTTTGCCCCTTAAAGAGATTCTATATCTTATTTTTATTGAATAACACCATTATTACCTACAGGAATCCCAATTCAGTTCAGCCAATAGATGAAAATTCTATTTTATACTGGCACTGTGTTAATAGTAGAAAAATCCCAGTTAGCCTGGTAACTTGGGACTTGCCTCATTTGTGAATGTCTTACTTACCTACTGCTGTTAAAAAATACCACAAGTGAGTGGCTTTAAAGAGCAGAAGTTTATTTTTTCACAGTTTAGGAGGCTAGAAGTCCAAATTCAGGGTGCAGCTCTAATGGGAGGTCCTTCCTTGTCCCTTTCAGCCTCTAGTAGCTGTGGCAGTCCTTGGCGTACCTGCGCTTGTAGATGCATCTGCTGTGTGTGTCTGTCTTCACGTGATGTCTTACCCCGTGTGTGTCTTAGTGATTATTCTGGTCTTTTTGTAACTCAGAAGTGATTAGGTTCACAACTGACCCGACTCTGCATGACCTCACTAACGTAACAAAAGAAGACCACGGTTTCCAAACAGGGTCAGGGTCATATTTATAGGTAGCAAACCAAAAGCCATTGTCGTCAAGTTGATTCCTGCTCATGGTGGCCCCATGTGTTACGGGGTAGAACTGCTCCATAGCGTTTGCTTGGCTGTAATCTTTAAGGAAACAGATTTCCAGGCCTTTCTAACGTGGCACTGCTGGGTGGGTTCGAACTGCCAACTTTTGGTTAGCAGCTGAGCACAAACCATTTACGCCTCTCAGGGACCTATCTATAGGGACAGGGGTGAGGATTTCAACATATGTTTTGGGGGTATACAGTTTACTCCACAACAGTTAATCACTTGGGGGAAACCTACGTTCTTCACAGGCCTGTACTTGTATTCCTCTGGCAGCCCTGTGGCTCAGGCACTGCGCTTTAATCTTACAGCACAGGCAAGGCAGTGATGCTTGACACAAAGGCCACCGCTGGTGGTTGGCTGCTCAGCCGTCTTTGTGCTTGACATTGGCAGGGAAGCAGCAGCAGTCAGCACACACTGTGGGAGTTCCTTTGGGAACTTGGCCTGAAGTTCCTTCCCTGCTCATCACGGTGTTTCTTTCTCATTGCTTTCTCCCATGGTCTGTACTCAGCTAAGGATACTCAGAAATCTTATCCAAACTTCTGGCAGCTCTCTTCTTTTTACATTTTTAAGTGATGACTTCATAAAGCCCCAGACAGTGGGGCAGCTTCCAGGCTCTGCGACTTCATTAGTCTCCTTGTCTATTCCGGGCAAGATAAGCAATCCCAGACAAATGGAATGGCTGCTCGTCTCAGCTGCTGAAGCTTTATGTTTGCCAGGGTTATGTACGTCATTTAACTTTTAGCTCTTCCCTTCCCAGCTCAAGCCTCCGACCTTGTTCAAATGTCGTGTTCTACCTTCTACCTAAGTAATTATTGGAAGTGATGTTGGCATTGTCTGTTTGATTTCTAATTCTTTGTTTTGATTTTTTTTTTTTTTTTTTTCTGGGATACCATTTGTTCTTACCAGAACATTTGTGTTTCTTTTGATACCCATGTCCTAAATAAAGTACTTGATTAATTGGATCTTAACATTAAGCCAAAAATATAAAAGGGAACTGGAGAGGTAGAAGAAGGAAGAAGGCAGATGGGAAGCAGGCTGCGAAAGTCTGGTGCAACATACATCAGGCCTTGATGAGGTATTTGGTTGTGCAAGCAGAATAAGGGCGTAGAATTCCACTAATGACATGGAAAAGGGACAAAAGAAGTAGACATGAATCAGCAGGAGTGTCATTGAAGCAAGGACTAGTAAACAATTCCAGTGTTCTTTGTTTGACATAAGGAGCTGGTGGTGCAGATGGTTAAGCGCTCGGCTGCCGACCAAAAGGTTGACAGTTCTAATCCACCCAGCAGCTCTGCAGGAGAAAGAACTGGCAATCTGCTTCCGTAAAGATTACAGCCAAGGAGACCTTATAGGGCAGTTCTACTCTGTCACATGGGGCCGCTATGAGTCCAAATCGACTCTTCGGCACCCAACCATGACAACGTGCTTGACATAGGTGAGAGGAGAAAGTAGGTGGTAGTCTGGATTTGTAAGGGAAAAATGAAGAGCTTCTTATTGAAACTGAGGCCAGTTCTAGGTCAAGCTGTCAGAGCTAAAAGGACGTGTCAGAAATGCAGACCAGAACCAGCAGTGCTTCTTATTCGCCATGGAAGGAGGTTCATGGCTTCACTTAAATCAAATACAAAGGTGTGTGTGTGTGTGCAGAGATGGCTCCATTTTGCTGTTAGAACCCCAAAAGGGCCCATGATCCATAAATGGTTAAGAGTTATTGGACTAGAGAGTCTATTAGTCAAAGCCATGTGGCAAGTGAGGTACCCAGGAGAAAGAAGTACTCCTAGAGAATGAAATAGGGCTTAGTGTAAGGCGGATGTAGGACGAGACGTTGTGGGTTAATGTTCCACAGCTTGATAGTGAAGTCTGAGTGTCAGGCTTTAAATATTCAAAGAGGAAATTAGGGCCGTCGACTGTGGAATCTAACAGCATTTGTCTCTATATCAATAACACGACGTGGAAAAAAGGAAATCACAGGTTCACATATCACAAACCTAGTTTTATATTTTTCAAACTTAATGTTCCTTAGGAATGCCTTCTTGCAATAATAGCATTTTGGTTTGATTTTCTGCTATACGATGTTCTTAACCCAACCTTTTGTTCTACCTAGGACACTTTTAGTCATCATCCAATAAAAGTCCAGGCTAGTGTCCAAAGGCACAATACACAATGATACTATGTACATTTTTTATGAAAGCACTAACACCTATTTGTGTTCCTGGTAGCAAAACTGCGGAATTCTTGAGCCGACTGGACAAAGACTTGCCAAACAGAAGCACCTGTCAAGTGGCTCTTCGTGACCCACAATACTCAACATGGGTAAGTGGAATGCCATGCAGAGTGCTGTATTGGGATCTTTTTTTTTTTTTAAATTGTCTTAAAAATATATATAACAAAATATTTGCCAATTTGACGATTTTTATTTGTAAAATTCAGTGAATTGATTACCTTCATCATGTTGTGCAACCATTTCCTCTATCCTTTTCCAAATCATTCCACCACCATTAACAGAAACTCAGTCTGGCACCTTCTAAATAATGTGTTTGGTGAATGAAGATAAGGTCATAGAGTGACCTGTACAGAGTACAATGCTGGGATGAAAGGCAGATGACCTGATATGAAACTTTGACCTCAAATATTGTCTCAGCTACAAAACAGTGGTTTTACATGTTACCTACATTATGGTCACTTGAACTGACTTCTGAAAAGCTCCTTGACCTCACTCAGTCATCCATCCATCTATCCATCCATCCATCTCTCAAATTTTTATGTCTACATAAGTTGTATTGAGTTGCATAAAGTTTCTGCCCTGAGGGACTGTCAAGTAAAGGAGAAAACCAATATTTACAAAGAAATGTGGTGAGTATAGAGCATATCAGAATTAGAAAGCATCATGGCCTTACCAGTAAGAAACACCTACCTAAGCATCAAATTGTGTGTGTATGTGTGTGTGTAAACACTTCCTGGCAGATATAACACCTGAGCTGAATCTTAAAAGATGAATCAGTAAGGTGAAGACAGTCATTCCAGGTGTCAGAAGGAATCAAGGCACAGAAGCAAGAATTAAGATAAAAAGGCAAGAAAAAAACATGACTTGTGTTGGAGAATCAGAGTTTTGTATAGCTGGACTATAGCATAATGAGCTAGAAAGCTGGAGAAGTAGGCAGAAGCCATGAGGAGCATTTCTCAATGGTGGGACTGCTGGTAGTTGGGTGGGGCAGTTCTTCATTGTGCGGGTTCTTTGGTACTGCAGGGTTTTTAGCATCTCCACCCCCTGAACACTAAATATTAGTATCACTGCCTAGACAGTGAGACCTACAGAAATGCCCCACACATTTCCGCACATTCTCCAGAAAACAGGCAGTGTCCCCGGTAGAAAACCAGGGTCCCCTGAAGAAATTTGTGTACCACATTGAAGAACTTGGACGTCATTCTGTGAGTGTTGGAAAGGTACTGAAAGGTTTTGAACAGGGAAGATTCAAGGCTAGATTTGTATTCTAGCTATATCACACTGGCCACCATGTGAAGGATGGATCTAAAGGAGACAGAGAGGCCTCGGAGAGGCTTATGCGTTAGTCTAGGTTGGGGATGATAAAGACTTGAACTAGAATGGTGACTGGGAGGGTGGAGATGAGGGTGCAGGTCTGAGCACTTGTAAACTTGACAGGGCTTGGTTGTTGTTAGCTGCTCAAGTTGGCCCCAACTCATGACCACCCGTGTGCAATGGAACAAAATGCTGCCTGGTCCTGCGCCATCCCTGTGATTGGTTGGGGATCGGATCACTGTGATCCATAGGGTTTTCAATGATTGAATTTTGGAAGTAGATCACCAGACATTTCTTCCTAGTCTGGAAGCTCTGCTGAAACCTGTTCACTACCGTAGCAACATACAAGTCCTCATTTAGGGATGAGTGGTGGCTGTGCATGAGGCACACTGGCTGGGAATTGAACCTGGGTCTCCTTCATGGAAGGCAAGTATTGTACCACTGAACCACCACTGTCCTTGACTGGTTAACGGGGGACAAGAAAGTAAATGTAATTAAGGATGACTCTGGGAATGGGTTGTAGTGAAAGAAAGGATAGATTTACTTTTTCTAAAGTCTTAGCTTTTCCAGGGTTTGAGCAGGTAGTAAATATTAAATTAGTTGTTAGAAAAGTCCCATCTTCTTTTTGTTGCCCCCTTTTTCTTTCTTTTTTTTCTGTTTTTAAATCAGGAAGACATTATGACACTCCTTGGGAAAAGGCCATTATACCGTTATTTACAAACCTTCATTTTTAATTCCTTCACAAGCTTCTAATGTCATGTTCCAAAGTTTCAACTGGTCAGTGTGGGCTCCACAAGTTGTGTCTACTGAAATCCGTCATCTCTCCCCACTCATGGCGGGGCTCTGGGGAAAGTGGTAGAAGCTGTAGGTAGTGGAGGTAAATCGTGTAGATGACAGTCCTTGACATCTACCTGGATTTCTTTGTGGCCATGAGGAGGGGAGGGAGGACAGGAGTTGGATAGCTTTACCAGCTCGGTTCCTGAGAAAGCTACCAGGGTGGTCTTGCTTTCTGTCTGGGGTCTTCCTGACTCCATATGATTTCAAACACCTGGCAGTACTGTGTGTGCTTGCTCGGTTTATTTTGGCTAGTTCCTTCAATTTAACAAGATGATCCTGAATTTTAATATTGTCGTCCAAAGCATAAGCAAAGTCTCCCTGAGATGTTTTCTGTGGATTGATTAGTGCATTAGTCACAGGCTCCTCAGAGCTATTAATAGACTAGATGGAGCAGGATTGGACCCAGGATGCTTCCTTATGAGCTGCATGCAATAACTGCTCCCATTTTGACACCAAACTGTTAATAATTTGTCAATGTTCAATATCTTTAACTGACTTTTTATCCATATTAAACTCTTCTCATTCTGTCTAATCCATATGCATAGAACTCCTCGGGGAGTGCTCTGTGGAACCATTTCTGTGGCTTTAGTAACATCAAATATGTACACTGCCCTTTTGTGAAGTAACGTTGCTTCTCTGCTGAAAGAAGGCACTGCTTAACCACTACACCAAGTCCTCAATTACTGCAATACCAGGGCTCCTTTATAAGTATATGTAATTTATATGCAATTATATATATATAATTGTGGTAAATATACACGCAACAAAACATTCTACATTTCAACATTCTTCACATGTACAATTCAGTGACATTAATTATGTTCAACATGTTGCTCAACTATTGCCATTATCCATTTCCAAGTTTTTCCCATCATCCTTAACAGAAGCTCAGTGTCCCCTAAGAAGTGACTACCCCCTTCCTGAGAAGAATATTTTTTAAAAATCTGATCCTGTTGTTCCACTGCCGAAAATCGCTCAGTGGCTCCCCATAGCTTCAAGGATAAAGTCAAAATGCTTTAGCTTCAACATAAAACCCTTTCTGATCTCTGCCACTGTCCATCTTTCTAGCATCACCTCTCGACAATCTCCTAGAGTCTGAAGACTGGCCTTGGCTACTGCAAGGACCAGCATCATGGGCCTCACTTGGGAGCTTATAGAAATGTAGAAGACTCTGAGGCCCAGCCCAGACCTCCAGAATTAGAACCTTCATGTTAAAAGATCCATGGGTGACTAGTGTGTGCATTGCACATTCATGTTTGTGGATCATTACGCTATTGCTCACTCCTCCCTCTAGCCATGTCCTCCCATTTACATTTCACTGACTGCTTAATTGTTTTAATTTTTAACCACGTGTAACATGATCATTCTTCAGAAGTCAAAAGATACTTAAAGGCACTTGTCCCTTGCAGCCCTCAATCCCACTCCCACCCCAATACTTTAAAACTCTCATATTAGTTTCCTACTGCTGCTGTAACAAATTACCATACATTTAGCCTTAAAACAACACTAATTTATTCTCTTACAGTCCTGGGGCTGAGAAGTCAACAGTGAGTCTTAAGGGGCTAATATCAACGTGTCAGCAAGGCTGGTTTCTTCTAGAGGCTTCAGGAGGCAGTCTGTTCTTTGCCTCTTCTAGGTTCTGGAGGCAGCCGGCCTTCCTTGGTTCCCTGGCTTGTGGCTGTATCACTCCACTCTCTACTTCTGTCTTCATGTTACCTAATTGCCTTCTTCTTATAAGGACCATTGTGATTATATAGGCTACACCTGGACAGTCTAGGCTTCTCTCCTCAAGATCCTTCATTTGATCACATCTGCAAAGGCCCTCTTTCCGTGTGCTTACAGGTTCCTGGGATTAGAACATGGACATCTTTGGGGGCCTTTATTCAGTCTCTCACACTCCTCTAGCTGTTTCTTTTGTTATTTGGCTCCACTTATCTAACTATTATGTGTATATTGCTATCTCTTGATTAATCAATTTTAGGCCTCATTGATTAATTTACTATTATGGTAAATGAGGGGTTTTAATAGACTTAAACTTCCTGCCCCCCATCTCCTAATACAATTATTTTATATTTATTTATTTTCAGTCCTTCCTGTATTATGACTATGCAAATGTTGTTTTCACTGCCAAGCCAGTTAGCATACTCTGATTACATTTCCTTTTTTCTTTACAACTTTTAAACCATTTTATTTTATTTTTGCGTTGGTTTAGTTTCCTTTGGACATTTGACTTCCTGCCCTTAACTTTGTGACTGTTCTATAAAATGCCTCGATGCAAATTTCCACATAATTTTCTATCTTGTGCCTGTCAGGTAATTTAGCAATTCCATTTTTTTCTTCCCCCTGAACTATCCCTCCCAGCTCCCTCTTACCTCTTGCTCTAACCAGCACTGGTTGTTCTTAGGCTTACTACACAGCTGTTGTTCTGGAACTCCCTTTGCAGCAATGGTTCCCAACTTTGTCTGCACATTGGAATCACCAGGGGAGCTTTAAAAATTACTCATGCCTGGGTCGCACCCCCAGAGATCCTGATGTATTGTGGGCTGGACACCAAGGTTTTTAAAAGCTCCCCAGGTAATTCTTACGCGCAGGCAAGGGTGAGCATCACTGCTTTAATGTCACCGTGGGAATTGCTTTCATTGCTTTTTATCTTGGGTCTTCTGTTTTCTGGATCTCGTTTCTTCTATTTCCTCATTTTATTTCTTTGTTTTGTTGGAGCATATTATTTAGTAGCTTTCCCAGAGAAGATACAAGGGAGGTACACATGTTTGGGCCCTGGCATGTCTAAAACAACCTTTATTGAGCCCTAATACTTAGCTTGCAATTTTATTGGGAAGTTGTATTAGAAACACCATTTGTAATAGTTTTCCTTCAGAATTCTGAAGGCATTGTTCTTCGAACTTTGAGTATTAGTTCTTGAGAAATCCAAGGCCGTTTGAATCTCAGTCCTTATACGGGGCTTTCCTCATTTCCTACCTGGAAACATTTTAATACCTTCTCTTATTTTCTGGTATTCTGAAATTTCATAGTTATGTTGCCTTAGCAAGTGTGCTTTTTATTAATTTTCAATCTGGAAGCTTGTCTCTAGTTCTGGAAGATTTTCTTGTGATTTATTATACTTCATTTTCTCTTTATGGAATTCCTATTAGTCAGATCCTTGACTTCCTGTGTTTATCTTCTAACTTTTCTTAATTTTTTTTTCTTCTCTAATTTATCTTTGGAGTCCCTGGGTGGTGCAAATGGTTAACACACTCGGCTGCTAACTGTAAGGTTGCAGGTTCAAGTCTACTCAAAGGCACTTTTGAAGAAAGGCCTGGAGATCTGCTTCTGAAAAATGAACCATTGCAAACCCTGTGGAGCACAGTTCTACTCTGACATACATGGGGCTGCAATGAGTCCTAGTCGACTTGGCAGCAACTGGGTTTAGTTAAATTTATCTTTGACTACTTTTTTTTTTAACTTTCTAGAGTATTTTCTTGAGTTTATCTTCTAAATCTTATACTGTTTTTTTGTTTGTTGGTTTGGGTGAAGGAGGGAATGATATTTTTAATTTCTAAGAACTCCTTTTTTTCCTTTCTTTTTAAAAATAGCAGCTTGTTCTTCTTTCATGCATAAAATATCACCTCAGAGAGATTCCCAGGAAACAGTGCAGGGAGCAGAAGAAAATTCAAAGTGGGACTTGGAGGCTCCCTGCTCAGTATGCAGAATTTTAGACAGTCCTTCATTCTCTGCCTGGTACTTTACCACTGCTGCCTTCTGTTCCAGGGGCCTCATCTGGTTTAGATTATGCAGAAATTTTCATGGTGTAGGGGGTAGGTATAGAAACAATGGCTTCTACTGAGACTTTCTAACAATTCCATTATTTTCACCTTCCTACCATCTTTCTATCTGGAGCCCTGGTGGCGCATAGTTAAGAGCTTGGCTGCTAACCAAAAGGTCAGCAATTCAAATCCACCAGCTGCTCCTTGGAAACCCTATGGAGCAGTTCTACTTTGTCCTGTAGGGTCGCTATGAGTCGGAATCGACTTGATGGCAGTGAGTTTGGTTTTTTAATTTCATCGTCTGTCATGGATTGAATTATGTCCCCCCAAAAATGTGTGTATCAGTTTGGCTGGGCCATGATTCACGGTAGTGTGTGATTTTCCCATGTGTGGTAAATACTGCCTCTATGATGTTAATGAGGGAGGATGGGCAGCAGTTGTGTTAGTGAGGCAGGACTCAATTTACAAGACTGGATTGTGTCCTGAGGCAATCTCTTGAGATATAAAAGACAGAAGTGAGCAGTGAGACAGGGGGACCTCCTACCATCAAGAAAGCAGTGCTGGGAGCAGAGCGCGTCCTCTGGACTGGGGTCCCTGCGCAGAGAAGCTCCTAGTGCGGGGGAACACTGAAGAGAAGAAGGCCGACAGAGAAAAAAAGCCTTCCCCTGGAGCTCAGGCCTTGAATTTGGACTTTTAGCCTGTTTTAACTGTGAGGAAATAAACTTCTCTTCGTTAAAACCATCCACGTGTAGTATTTCTGTTATAGCAGCACTAGATGACTAAGACATCATCTGTGTGAGCTATCCCTGGGTGGTGCAAATGGTTAACGCACTTGGCTGCTAACCAAAGGTTGGAGTCCACCCAGAGGTGCCTTGGAAGAAAGATCTGGCAACAGTGGCATCATTAGGGTAGGTGTCACACAGTGCAGTAGCTGATGGTGTCACTCCCCTCCACCCCATTGACCTCTTCCTATACCAGACCGTACAGAATCCATAGTAATGTTTTTTGTACTGTTACTTGTAAATTGTAATTCCTGTGTATCATTTCTTCTTTTCCTTCAATTTCTACTTCATTCTTAAAATGTTATTGATATAGGTTCACAGATATGAATTCCAACAATATTGTAGCTGAAACACCAGAAAATTTGACAAAATCAGTGACTATAAAATCACCAGCAGCAATAAAAACAACAGTGTGTGCTTGTAACACGTGCAGATGAAACCACGTGATTCGAAGCATCATTGTAATTGGGTAATAATAACAGCTCTGACCAGAGCACATTAGAAGGTTCAAAAAGTAAGTTAGCATAGAGTTTTATCCTTGTAGGTTTATTGATACATGTAAGCTAGGATTGTTGTTGTAACTAACTACAGGGAAATTTTTATAGACAGTCATTTTGGTGTCACCCCATCTGACAGTGTCACCCAGTGTGGTCGTGTGGTCTGCACCCCCTGCACCCCCCTAGTGACACCACTGCCTGGCGATCTACTTCCAAAAAATCAGACATTGCGAACCTTATGGAGCACAGTTCTACTCTGACACATATGGGGTCATCATGAGTTGGAATCAATTCAGTGGCAACTAGAAAAAAAAAACAACAACCATCCGTCTTCCCCAATACCTGGTGAAATACCTCATGCCTTCATTTGTGGGCCTTCACCTTGCTCTTTAGAGAAATTGGCTTGCTTCATGTGAGTGTCCTCTGTCCCCTCCCCAGAAGGTCTTCAGGTTGACTGACCTTTTTCTCTCTAAGTCATTTATCATTTCCTAATCTACTTTATCTTCATATATTTGGCCTAAGAATACAGATATCTCTTAGATATAGAAGATAGAATCTGAGTTTCTTTCTTTTTTGTTTAGGGTACCTTTTGAGAGAAGAATGGAGCAGACACATCTTTACTCCACCATCTTGAAATTAGAACTTAATGCTATTTATGCTTTCTTCTGTTCACCCAATGCCCTTTCCCCTGCTCAGCCTGATTCTTATTCTTTAAAACATAACTTAGTGTCACCCACTTTGGGAAGGTGTCCTTGATCCTCCCAGTTTAATTAAATGTCCTTCTTTTGGTCTTCTTCAGTCACAAAACTATCGTGCTGTCCTGTGCTTGTTAGTCTTCTTGTCTGACTTGCATATTAGCTGATAAGCGCTTGAGGTCTGGGATCATGTCTTCACACAGTGCTTGCACATACAAGGCTTAAGCATTTCTTATTGAATGAATGCATTATGAGCATAACTTTTGGGGGAAGATGAATAAAAGTGGGTTTTTAGTAGTTGAATAACAAAAAATTTAGTATTATTATTTAGTTTTTTTTTATTTTTTCCCATACAAAAATTTATACGTACATTGTTATAAGTTAATATTTAATGATAGAAAAATTATGTGAATACCGTGACTTAGAAATATATGAGATTTGTAACTAAGAAAAATAGTGATAAAAAGTTTTCTTTTCCCTATTATTTTTTTTTTAACAGAAACTTCCTGTCTTACCTCAGGATAGCAGCTGGGTAAGCAAGCATTAGGATGGCAATTAACTTTGAACTCTTCGCAGTTAAGGTGCCATGTGACTTTTTAAAAAAAATTGTGGTTTTAGTTTATATGTAACAAAACATTTTCTACTTTGACAGCCTTCACATGTACAGTTCAGTGACATTAAGTATGCTCATCATGCTGTTCAACCATCACCCTTACCGTTCCCAAAGTTTTCCATCACACTTATCAGAAGCTCAGCGTCCCCTTAGCAGTGAGTCCTCCTTTCCCCCTTCCTCCCACCCATCCCTGATAACCACTGATAAACTTTGGCCTCTGTACATTTTCCTAATCTAACTATTTCATGTAAGTGTGATCATAAAAGATTTGTCCTTTTGTGTCTGACTTATTTCACTCAGTATCACATTTTCAAGGCGTATCCATGTCATAGCCATATGGCTTTTAAGCCACCACTTCCCAGTATCTGTGGCAATTTTTATGATGCCTTATGTGTCTAATAACCATTCTTTTTCTGAGTCAAAAACTAGGACCCATATTCTGATAAAAGAACAACAAAGTGGTACATTTAACGCTTTTGTGCCCAATTATTTTTTTCTTTTTAATTTTTTGTTGATACTCTGTGTTTTCAGTAGTGGAGGGCATGCTGAATTATTGAGTGTGTCTACATTTTTGGTAAGTAATAATGGTTTTTGTTTTATGCCTCATTCCACAAATTGTGCCCTCAGAGTTGAGAGGTACATATGGATACCCCTTGTGAATACAAATTCTGCCCCCAGAGCCCAGAGGTACATATGGATGCCAAATAAAAATTTTCAAAATTCAAGTTTTTCCTAACAAAGATTCAATGATTCAGCACCACCTCACACAATACCCTGTAAAAACAGTAATTTGTGGCACATGCCTATTTTTTCCATTTCAAACTGTTACATAGGACCCTGCCTGCTGGCAGCATGTACTGTCAGTGGGACAGCAGCTTCCCAATGAACGCCAGAGGTACGAAAAGTAAGTGGTAGCTGTGTGTACCACCAGTCCTGAAAGGGTTTTTATAAGGAAGGTATTCAAGTAGCATTTAGGTTCTATGCTTAAGACATCATATCTGCTCTAATTATTTCACTCCACTGTTTGATCTCTCAAATAGAAGCTAGCTGTCTCAATTCTTTCTTTCTTCGGGGGTCTTATATGGAGTATTTGTGATGAAAATTATCCTTCTCTCATATAGAAAGAAGGGCCATCGGACAGTCTGTTCCCCATTTCTTGGTCTTACCACAGTCCCTTGTGTTTAGGGTATAGATAAGAGAAAGTCCTGTACGTGTGTAGGATGTATTCTTGCCTGTCTAACGTAGTAGGGTTTGGATATAGGAGGGCTTTCTGGACGCATCTGGAGCTCCACTATTCTAATTAGTGGTGTTGTAGATGATAAAATTCTGAAAGCCTATTTGTACTTTCTGGAAATTGGCTCTTATTATTTGAGGTCATTGTTATAGTACCAGAAAAGGGGTGGGGGATGAATTAAGAAGTGCTTGAGAAAAATTAATAGTAAAAGAAGAGGTGGAACAAGCCTACATACTCTTGTGGATTATTAGTCCAAAGAACTAGGCCTGAAATAGCATGTGGGCTGCTGCCATGGTGCTGCTGGTAATTTTATGAGATGTATGGAATTTCCTAAGCATTAGCCTACCAGGCTGGCCTCTGCCTTAGAGAGGCTGGGGTTATAGATCAATGTGAAGGTAGGGAAAGTGTATGAGAAATGAATATACAGAATACTTAAAATCCTATAAATTTCAGGGTACACTGTCACTATGCCAGTACGTCGGCCCCTGATGTGGTGGGTCAGAGGGACTAAAGGGTATCCTCCACATGTACTGGATCTTCTAAGGCTCTCCCTTAAAGTCCTGATACAGCCAGAAATGATGGCTCCTGTGCTTCTGAGCTAGAGTCCCTATGTGGTGCAAACAGTTAATGCACTCAGCTGCTAACCAAAAGGTTGGAGGTTTGAGTCCATGTAGAGGTGCCTCAGAAGAAAGGCCTGGCAATCTGTTCCCCAAAAATCAGCCATTGAAAACCCTGTGGAGCACTGTTCTACTTTGACACACATGGGGTCACCATGAGTCAGAGTCCATTCAACAGCAACTAGTTTTGATGCTTCTGAACAGGGTGTTTTTTTTTTTTTTCTTCCTCAGGGTACAGATTAGGAATGCAAAGATTTAGAAAGAAGTTGGAATTTCATGGCATCACCAGCTGACCAGCTGTTAATAGGGCACCATTAGTGAGCAGTAGACATGTCCATGCTTCTAAAGTCAATGTCGCTGTTGCTTATCTCTGACATTGACTGAGCAGCTAGTCCAGATTCTTGAAAAGTATACCAAACTTTTCCCTATTTCCAGCCCTCCTCCCTGGAAAGGATAAGCTATGTTGATTATCTCTGAGGGGATATTTTAAAGGCTTAATTAAACTAAAATTTAAATCATCCCTTTACAATGTGCTGGATGATCATGCTTACGCTAGTCTTCTTTTTCCGTATCCCAAGGGACCTCTTTCTGACAGGGACATAAATTAGTCAGTAAGCAAGTGAGTATGGAAGCTCACTGTGTGATCAGTACGGAGGTTGTTAGCACCAGGCTCATAGTAGGGCAGATTGGTGTATTGTGCTGAAGCTTTCGCCTATGATTTTTTTTTTTCCTATCATTACAGGCCAGAAGCCGGAGTTATAAGGATTCTCTGAAGGAAGAAGAAAACCGAAAATTGCAAAAAATGAAAGATGAACAACACCGGAAGGTATTCACAAGGCCCTACTAAAACCAAAACCAGTGGAGTTGATTCTGACTCATAGTGACCATATAGGACAGAGTAGAACTGCTTGATGGGGTTTCCAAGGAGCAGCTGGTAGATTCAAACTGCTGACCTTTTGGTTAGCAGCCGAGCTCTTAACCACTGCGCCACGAGGGCTCCAAGGTACTACTAAACCAAAAAACCCATTGCTGTTGAGTCGATTCCGACTCATAGCGACCCTAGTAGTCAGTGCTAAATTACTTGCTTGTGGTACTAGATAATTTTTTTTTTATTGTGAGCCAAATATATATGGACTGAGAAACATTTTTGTTCTGTTATACATAAGGTCACCGTGAGTTGGAGCTGACTCTATGGCATCTAACAACAACAACAAATACATATAACAAAACATTTGCCATTCAGCATTTTTCAGATTCAGTGACATGAATTATGTTCATCATGTTGTATAACTATTACCACTAAGCATTTCCAAATTTCTCCATCACCCTTAGCAGAAACGCAGTGTCCCCTGAGCAATGAGCCCTGGTCTCCCCTTCCCTATTCCCCTAGTAACCACTAATAAACCTTGGTCTCTATACATTTGCCTGTTCTAGGTATTTCATGTAAGTGCGATTATATAATATTTGTCCTTAGGCGACTGACTGATTTCACTCAGCAGAACGTTTTCAAAGTTCACCTGTGTCATGGCGTGTATCAGGACTTCATTCCTCTTTATGACTGAGTAGTATTCCATTGTGTTTATATGGTGGTACTAGATAATTTTGAATGGTTTATGAGCAGAACTATTTGCATACGTAAAATTCTGGAAAAATAATACAAGCATTGAAAATAAAAGGTGAGTTTTGGGTGTGTTTTGAAGGTAGAGTGGTGGCTCCTTCTGGCCAAAATGCTCATGATGGTAGCTTCATAGAGGGCTATAGTGTGTCTTCTATAATAGGTGCCAAGAGTCCATGGAAAGATGAGACAGCACATGTGGACTTCTGATATGCAAAACAAAACTCAGCCAACACCATTGCCATTTTTAAACCAGAGGTATATGAAATTGCAAATAATTTCCAAAGAATATAGTGCCTAACAAAGTAGGTGTACAATGTTCTGAGACTGGCTTACATATTCACCTAAAATAGTTATATACGTATAATAAAACATGTATAAAAATAGACTACACATGCGTACACATATGTGAGACATTCCATATTCCTTGAGCGATAGAAAGCAGTGAAATGAATGCAGAGCCTCCTAAGAAAAGCACTTAAAAGGCAATCCTCATTAGAGTACTGAATTTCTGGTATGGCCATTCAGTGCTGGGACTTGATGGCCATACCTGACCTTTGATAAATAGACTCAGATAGGGTCAGAATTGACTGGACTTGAGATGAGAATGAGGAGGACGACCAGTGATTAGCTCAAAGGTACGACTTCGTTCCAGATCCTTGAAATAAGCAAAGTAAATTATTCAGCTAGTTGGAGGCCAAAATCTTTTCGTCCTTGTTTTTCCCAACTTCTTGCCATATTGGTGATTGATAAATCCTGTGAATACTTCTTCCAGAATGTCTTTCAAATCTGTTTTCTTTGATTATACAATTAACTGGCATTCGAATCCCCATCTGATTTTCCTTGATTTGCTTTAATTAATTTTTTTATGTCTTTGTCCCAATAAGGTTTATTGTAGCAACTATTGTAAAAACACTTTTTGAAATAGACTATATATACTAGTTGTTTTTGCTGTAATTTGACCCTTTTAGTGCTACCCTCCCCCCAATAACGGTCAGCCCCTTCCTTGATCATAATTTCACCCAGCCTACAATGTAAATGGCTGTGTAAGTGGCAATTTTTTGCATTGTAGGTGTCATTAAATCATTGAAAGAGATAATGAGGGGTAGATGTATTTATTAAGCTACTGTATGAGCAATGGAGAAACCAAGGAACATTTTTGTCATTTGGTGATTTTTCAAAAGTAAATATCTTTTTGTTTTGATAAAGGCCTTTTATTGAAATCCACAGTTAAATAAATAATGTTATGGTAAGATTTTAGTAATTAGGAAGTAGAAGATACATCTGGCACATACTTACGTTGTATTTTCAATAATGACTGTTAAGTGGCATGAAAGTTAATCTATTTCTATAAGCTTTTAATTAATATCAAGTCCTAAAATTTTACATGCTGAGAACTGTTGTGAAGTCAATTGTAGATATGATTTATTTTAATATAACTTCTAGTGAATCTTAAATAGTGTCTTATAGTTTTGTGTACATATTTGGAATGTGAAAAGCATGAAAAGTAGAACATTGCACAAAGAGAATGCTCAACAGATTAGAAAATCAGATCTGGGATTTAATTTTCAGGTTGAGCAGAAAATTAAGCTTTTTATTTCTTAATAAATTTTGTTTTTCTTTTGGAGTTAGACAAATATTGACACATACATATTTTCTGGGTATTGATTGAACATATTTTTTATTATATAACTTTCAACTTATTTTTGTTTACTTACTGTAGCCGTACAGTAAAATGAATAGCTTTGATGTGTAGATAATTCCATCCTTAGGGTCTTCAATAACAGTAGAAAATATAAAAGTACTTACCTCTCCAGCCTACTTTACTGGAGCCCTGGTGGCTCAGTGGTTAATAGCTTAGCTGCTAACTGAAAGGTACGTGATTGGAACCCACCAGCCACTCTGCAGGAGAAAAGACCTGGCGATCTGCTCCCAGAAAGATTACAACCTAGTAAACCCTATGGGACAGTTTTATTCTGTCCTTTGAGGTCCCTATGAGTTGGAATTGACTCAAGGGCACACAACAACAACACAAAAGTCTACCTTATTTTTGTGTCCCCTATTTTTGTTCAATCTGGTTGTTGTTGGGAAATGCCCACTGAAGATATTCCGTTTTGTAGGGTCTGTCATTGCTTATAAATTCATTGATTTACCTTAAGAAAATGACAAGGATTGTATTTATGGTAGGAAGATATAGAAAATAAGACATTTTCATTTATTTATATTGCATCTATTCATACCTTTTTTTATTCCATTCATTCAACATATCTTTGTTGGATACCTACTATGTGGTAGGCATTACTCAAAGTAATGGAGTAATTCTTAGGTAGATAATCTATGTTATGGTTTGGTGACAGCACGTTTATTTTGGTCTGTGTGTCTCTGACTTGCACATCCTTCCATTTCTTTGGTCTCTGAAGACAGTATGTTCTTCCTTAGCAAAGTTTTAACCTCTAAATATTTCATATTTGATTCAGTTCCCTCTTGCTTCTTCTAGAAATTTATAATTCATTTTGTTCTTATATCTTCAATATATTCTCCATTGACTACTTCCTTTTTCTATCAACAATATGTTCACTCGTGCCTTTCTAAAAGAAACAATCCGACCCTTTGCTTGATTCTGCTATCCTCAAAGGCACCATCTTTCCTGCTTCTACCATATTTTTTAAAAAAAAAGCAAGAGAGAGACAAGAGCAATCTTACTGTAACCACTTCTTTGTTATGCACATCATCCTTAATTCCTTGTGATCTGGTTTATTTTCACAGATGATCTTACTGAAACTTCCCTCTCAAGGCAGTATCCCCTGTGGACCTTCAATTCAGTAGTGATTTGCAATCCATACCTCCCTGTAACTCTGTAGCACTCGTAAACATCACTTTAAAGCTTTCCTTTTTTGGCCTTTCTTTATTATTCTGCTGGTTCTATCTCAGAGTAATATCTACCAGCATTTCTTCATTTGCTAATTCATTTGTTCATTCTATCAACAAACATATAGTGAGTGCCTGTTATGTACTGTACATTGTACAAGATACTGGAAATACAATTATGAGCAGGATAGGCAAGATCCCTGTCTTCTTTAAGTTTACATTCTAATGGGAGAGATAGACAATGAAAAGGAGACAACGAAATCGAATGGTGCACTTTTTATTTTGTAGTGATTAATGCTACAAAGGAAGTAAACTGTGTTTGTTGTGCTAATAGCTTCAGGGTGGTATATCAAATGCTATTGATTGACTGCTAACTTAGTCAGGGTTCTCTAGAGCAACAGAAACAGTTATATATAGGAAGAGTACAGCATAAAGTTCTGCCAGAATATCTGTTTATAATCTGGAGGCAGAACACACCCTAGGGAAACTCTCTTGTCAACTGATGGATTAATTATATTATATTAGATTACATTATGAAGTAAATTACATTATAGAAGGTAATTATGTTAGAATACATTATGTAACTGCAACTAGATTAATTTTTAGGCAAACAACTGGGAATCATAGTCTAGCCAAGCTGACACGTAAAATTAACCATCACACCTTCCAAAGATCCATTCCTCTCTTTTAAAACCCTAATATTTCTTTTACTTTACATGGCTTTGTGTTTCAGGGGGAGAAGACACCACTCCTAGTCCCAGAGATTTCAATCCCAAATAGTCTAACTGTTCATGGGAGTTCCATTCTCCTTGACTGGTTCAGCCATGGCTGTGTGATATAGTTCCAACCAATGAGATTAACAGGAAGTCTGCCTTTTAGTACAGAATTTGATCAATGCGAAATATTATTACTCTTCTCATTGAGTAATATTCAGCTTTATTTCTTTTTTTGTCTGATCCTAATATTTTCTCTACCAGCTTTTTTATGCGGCAGTTTTTTTTTTTCCATCACTTAATTTTTACGTGATTTCAAGCAGATTTCTAGTGGCAAAAATGACTGATATTTCTTTTATCCAGTTTCATAGTATCATTTAATAGATAGATTTAATATATTCTCATTTATAGTTACAACTAATGTATTCGTATGTCTTCTTGCCATGTGAGTTAGTTTTTATGAATTATGTTTACTTTTCTGATTCTTTGATTGGATTTTCTGTTTCATTTACTTACTATTCTGAGTATTCTAGTGGTTACTGTAAAGTTTCTTAACACTTACATAAACTTAAATTTTCTGTCAACATCTAGAGTTTTGCTGTCCAGTATGGTAGCCACTAGCTACATGTG